CCATAAATAGCCAAATTGGGATGTAGGACTTGTTTGAAAATGAAAGGCACCATACTGCACCTCTTGATTTCTTCCAGTAGCAGACACTATTTCAATGTTTCAACAAATCTGGAAAAACCAGAGAGGCGACTTGTCTGGTCTCATTTATTAATTCAAATCAAACTACAGTACTTTGAATGCCCCAAATTTTCCCTTTTGACTGTTTACACCCAGTGTTATATATCGTGCTGCATTTCATTAGTATCAATAATTAATAACGTTATTACTATTTAATAGTACTAATTATTAATTTACTATTAATAAAATTATATTCAGTATTGGATGCAGAAGAAAGAAACAAAGCTTTTGAAATGTTATCTGTTTGCCTGTTGTGTACTTTTTGCTGCCCCAAAGTATTTAAAACAGTAATACAATTTTCTCTGACATTCCGTGTCATATGGAAATATGAAAAATCATATGATCATAAAAGCAGTTATTTCTGATAGATTTCTTCTGTCAGAATCTTATGCCCTATAGTCTTTAAAATGTTGTTAAACTAGTTATTCTTTTTATTTTTATGTAGTTGGAGTATCTCTTCTGTTAAAGTGACTTGAAAAATGTTGGTTCTTTCATGTTTCACTTAGCCTCTCTGAATCATTCTAGTAACTTTTATTATCTTCTAATTCATTCAAGTTTTATTGGGGCTATATGGTTATGGTTGAGAGTGCATCTGAAGGTTATATTTAATGCAGAAAGAAAAAGAAAACTAATGAACTGAAATAAGATTCTATAAATCACTTCAGTGTTATATTTGTTCATTACAAATCTAACATTAGACAGTAGTACATTGATGGCTAACAGTTGTTTTAAATGTTTAAATCAAAATCATTAGATGTTTAAATCAAAGAGCAAAAATAATGAGGCTTTTGCTACCTACCAAGATATCAGATAATTCAAGCCTGAGTATGTAGCAAAACTCCTTAGTTTCATTTTTGTGTGAAAGCATTACTAAGTACTAGGCAAAATATAACAGAAATCAGTTGAGCCGTTTAGTTAGTGCTGAGATAACCATGAGTTGTTATACCAAAATATGGAGAAATGTCAGAGATAAATCTTTTAAGCTGTAAAGAAGTATATTAAAACTTTACTTTGGAATTTTGATTTTATGGTTAGTAAACAATCTAATAGTCAAATGTATTTTGTAGACAGCTTTGTAGACAGTTTTGAATTGTATTAATGGCCAAGTAGATTCTTAAGTATTTGTTATAGTGTGACGCATTTAACTGTTCTTTTGTTTTGGGGGATTTATTATGCAAAAATTACAAAACACTATTGACAGCAATATAGTTCCTTATCCATTAAATGTAATGTATTAGTCTTTGACTTACAATAATGGAGTCTGGCCAATCCAATTTTACAAGTTTTTTTTGTGATACTGGTTAAGTGAATAACCATGGCATGTGTTTACCAAAAATTGGAACTAAAGATGGTTGTTTGACAAAAAGTCATAAAGTGTGCTCACATGACCATGGGACACTGCAAACAACCACAAATGGTTGTTTGTTCAGTTGCCAAGTTCCTGAAATGCAGTCTTGTGACCGTGGAAATGTGTGGTACTCAGAACTCTGGATTGTAAGTCACTTTTGTGTGTCCCATTGTAACTTCGAACTGTTGCTAAGTGATAGTTGTAAGTCAAGGACTATCTGTACTTGATAATTAGCAAGTACTCAGATAACAAACTATATATTTGATTCCTTTAAAAAAAAAGTTTTAAAAGACATTAACGATTTCTAAATACACACCAGTATTTCAGGATTTTAAGAATTACGGCTGATTTTTCATTTTTCCTACTTAAATTTTAGTTATCTAAATAAATATCTCCTCTCCATTGGTTTTAATCAGTGCTTTCCTATATGCTGGGTATAGACTATGAAGCATCTACTCCCTTTTGATTTATTTTCTGAAATAACAAATTGAAACCATGATAACAAATACAGAGTAGTTTTCTTTGGTATAGATGTGTTTTAAAATAAAATATACGTAGCATTGTATTATATACATGTTTCATTGATTTACCCTATTTTTTCCTAGAAAAAAGCAAAAGGGCAGGTGTTGTTTGACAAAGTATGTGAGCATCTTAACCTACTAGAAAGGGACTATTTTGGCTTGTTGTTCCAAGACCACACAGATCAGAAGGTATGTACTAAATGTGTAAAAATGACTTCTAAAAGATTGGGAACTTCTGTAATTTATGGAATTTTGTTACTGAACATTAAGTCTTTTAAAGTCCAGACCCTCAGATTTGTGAGCAGAAGAGGGGTAAATATAATGCTATCTCTTGTTGTCATATTTTGAACTGAGCATTTTTTCCATGGATGGGGAGGAGGGGAGAGAGGAGGCACACACAACCTAAAACCTTCCATGTGCAGTTTACAGTAGGGTTCGTGCTTCTATGAGAATCTAATGCCTGATGATTTGAGGTGGAGCTGAGTTGCAGCTGCAAATACAGATCAAGCTTCGCTCGCTTGCCCGCCATTCACCTCCAGCTGTGCAGCTGATTCCTAACAGCCACAGACCAATACTGGTCCATGGCCCGGGAGTTGGGGACTCCTGGCCTAGATGCTGTATGGATGTGATCAGCTGAAATAGAGAATGCTGACTGAAAGCATTTGAACTCTAATTTTTACTTTTCTTTTAAAAATATATTTGCAATAAATACCATCATCATTGTTAGAGCAATTAATTAAAATGTAACACAAATCTAAAACAAATAAACTGCCTCAAGCACATAGATCAGTGATGGCGAACCTTTTAGAGACCGAGTGCCCAAACTGCAACCCCAAACCTACTTATTTATCGCAAAGTGCCAGGGCTGCATCAGCACTGTGGTGCCCTCAGGGGGGGTGGGAGGGCATGGCGCACTGGGTGGGCGTGGCTGCAGTGGTCATGGCAGACTGGGTGAGCGTGACCAGGGCGTCTCTCGTCATCTCTGGGGCATCCCCGGGGGGCAAATACCGCTTGCTCGCTCACTTCCTGTCCTGTCGCTTCCAAACGCCACGTGCTCGCTACTCTGGCGAACTCTGCTGGGGCAACGGCTCGCGTGCCCACAGAGAGGACTCTGAGTGCCGCCTCTGGCACGCGTGCCATAGGTTCGCCACCACTGACATAGATCTAGAGAGATTTCCGAAGACGTTTAGGGAATATCTCAACAGTATGGTCAAATTCTGTTATTTTTATAAGGAGCCTTTCTTTCTTACTCATTCTGATTGGCTCCTTGGTTTATTAAGAAGTCCAAGAGACAAAGTGACAGTAAATCTGACTGAGTATGGCTACAAACTCAGGGTCAGATCTACATTATGATAGTAACAGAAGCATTGATGAGCTGTTGACCGATTTACTTGTTTAGGGTGGCATCTCCCAGTTTGGGAGAGTGTTATCTTCCACTTCTCAGCTTTGACAGTTTTTCACAGCACTTTGTCAACACAGTGGTTCAAATCTGCCAGAGGTTGAATTCTCCCTGTGACTATCTAGTCTATAACATTAACTGGAATGACATTTTAGTTTGTAGAGTCTAGCTTAGCTTTTAGCTCGTAGAGTCTTAGAAAGTAGATAGTATGAGTATTTTACTAGTATGCAGAAGGCAATAAAAAATATACATGTTTTGCAAGAAAAACCTGCATTTCAACGGTTTTTCATAGAAAAAAGTATCCTATTATGAATAATTAATTGTAAAAGCTAGATTTTCTGCTTTGTAAAGGATTAAGTTTATTTCATTATTCTAATTTTAATTGGAGTTCTATGTTTACAGAGATATTGAACATCAGTACGCTTATATGACTAAGTCTGGAACTATTATTTTCATGAACTAGCACAGAAAAAGCAGTATCTGTAGAAAAACAATTTATAAGGAGAAAGACAGTAGAGGGCAATCTAATCTAAAAGGAAATTCTCTCATGTTATCTGCATGTTTGAAGAAGCAATTAAATTATCTTTTATGACCATAAAATCTAATATCGTTGAAAAAAAATTATAGACACTCGAGGTCTTTGTATTTTTTTTTTTAAAAGCTTTTGTATGCCCTTTCACTTGCTCATGAAAAGACAGTGATTTATGCAGGAGAAAGTGTTGGTAAATAAACATAGCTAGCTCACTAGCAATCCTCAGCTAGAGAGAAAACTGCAGACAGAAAAATATGAGATATATCTCGTTTTCATTTTATAGTCTTAGTAAAAAAGCAAATAGTTTGCTAGTATATATAGATAATAATTTTACATTGTCAGTTAATATAGGCACAGGGAACATCAGTCTCAGAGTTTTCCATCTGGTTTGCAACGTTATCCTCTCTTTTCTATCTTTGATGTCCATCTCCTATCCTGAGGGAAAGGGCAAGAGTCATCTTTCGGCTCAGCAACTTATCCAAGATAAAAATTGTTCCTTATTCATATCTAAGTCACCACTGGAGGGAGGGAACAAATGAAAAAGCATCAGCACAACACTGCTTTCATCAACATGAAAATCTGAAAATAAGTCAAAATGATGAAAGTATTAGATCCTGTAGATACCTCTGCCTGCACATAATGTTAAAATTGCCTCATCGATCTATGACTTATTTAAGACCATATTTTAAAGAAATACACCTCTCTCAAAAATTACAGTGAGAGAATTTGAACAATATAGTCAGTTGTGTGAATATTATCTTATGAGTTTCAGTAACATTTTATAATTGTATAGCAAACAGTAATCTTTTACTTTTGCAGAATGAAAGAAAACTATTTTGAATACTCAGAGCCTACCATTGATAGGTAGTGAAGTATATGGAAATTTGACATTTTTTTAATGAATGAAAAAATTAAAGCAAAAGAAAGTTAAAAAAATGATATAATTCAATTTAAATCCTGATCTCTTTGAGAGCCCTCTTGGATTCTCAGATCCTGGCTCAGACAGCAAATGGCAGTAATGGCTAGAAAGGCCTTTGAACAAATTTATCTTGTGCGACAATTGCATCCTTGGCAGGCCATTCTCACAGTCACTCATACCTTAATCCAGACATGTCAAACACAAGGTCTGGAGGCCAGATGCGGCCCGCGAAGTGGTTTCATGTGGACCGCGAAGCCATCCTGAAACAGTGAGGGAACGGCCCCCGCTGCCTTGGCCCTGGCCCAGGTTGGCTGGAAGCCAATGTACAATTTTGTGGTGGCCATCTATGCTGAAATGCATTCAGTCTTAGCTCCACAAGGCCATCCAGAAACAGCAAGGAACCAGCCCCTGCTGCTTTGGCCCCTCCCCCTGGGTGCATGCTGGGGAGGTGTCACCATTTGTGAGGAATGAAGAAATGGACCATGCCTTGGCACGTGCCCTGGTCCCATCTCCTTCTGCCAGAGACCCTCATATCTGTCCCACTCACGTGACATTGCGAGTTTGAAACCCCTCTTCTACATGGTGCTTCCCCTGAAGACCACTCAGATGTCACAACTGGTTTAGAGCGTGGCTACACAAACAGCTGTGCCTTTTTTTCCATGTAACATTTCTACTCTACCAGCTTTAGAGGATACTAGCTGGTTTCAGCATATTCAGTTCAGCATATTCTCTCTTATTGAGCACTGAGTGGCCTAGGACTTGGTTATCTACATGGCAGTCTTTCTCTTGTCATCTCTCCCTGTTCAATAAAATCTCTAAGGGTTGGCACATTTCACATCCCAATTATAAAGTACTGTGATCTTGTGGGACTTAGGCAATATTTATTTATTTTATTTGTTAAATTTATTTGCCGCCTCTCTCGCTGTGGGACTACTCCATACATTCTCTGTAGCTGTATTGTCTTGTGAAACAATGCTTCATGTGACCCCAGTGCTGTTGAGATTTTTAAAGTCGTGGATGTCTGACTCTTCCAATACAGATACGAGTGGTTCATTGATTTACTCACTGGCAGTTTATTTCTTTTTGTTAACAATAGTTTAAAGTTGGTGAATTTCTAGGATGTGCTGCCATCTATTATTATCAGTTTTTGTATTTTATTACTTCTGTAGAAGTTTAAATCCTAACATGTAAACCCAAACTTTCTTCAGTGGTTGAGGCAGTTTAGAAACCGATAGATGAAAAATTCTCAGAATATTATATTCTGATTTTGAATGAATCAATAATAGTTACATTATAAAATACACATTAAATATTTTATTTCTCATTATGTGTCATTTCTGTTTTTAGAATTGGCTTGATTCTTCAAAAGAAATCAAGAAGCAAGTTCATAGTAAGTGCTCTAGTCATATCTCTTACCGTCACGTCACAGGTAGTCCTTGATAATATAACTGTTCATTTAACAATAATCTGGAATTACAATGGCCTCAGAAAGGGTGCTTTAGAGCCTGTAAATTATTTCTGGTTGTCACATAATGTTGCATCAATAACTCCCATGGTCATGTGATTGTGATATGGATGCTTGTTCTCACAGCTGGTTGCTAAGTGTTGCACGATCATGTGATTGCCATTTGCATTCTTTCTTGCTGGATTCCCCAAAAAATCCTTATCTCTGGGGGCTGGAAGCTGAATTCTTTTAGTACGGGTGCAGAAATGGATCTGAACGAGTTATCTTCCATGCACTGGGTTTGGATTTCAGCTCTCTCTTGTTTCTGGAGGATGGCTGAAAATGCTACCTGCCAAAGGATTTTGGCTCCCCTCTATGCATGGGGTATACAAATGGGGCTGAAATCATGAGTTTTTCTTTTTGTTTGTTTTTATTGCCTAAATACAAAAAACAGGTGGCTCCCTTCTATGCTTTAAGGCAGTGGTTCTCAACCTGTGGGTCGGGACCCCATTTGGGGTCGATCGACCATTTCATGGGGGTCGCCAAGCAAGGCTGTCTGCCATTTTTTTGTCCGCCATTTTTTTCCCTTTTCCGGCGGGTGCCTTACCTCCCTTGGGCTGGGCCAGCTGGTGGTCAGCCTGCTCCGTCTCTGCCGCTTGCCAGCTACGCCTTGGCCGGCGCAGGGGGCGGAACCACGCATGCGCGGCGCTCCCGGGCAGGGAAAGTCCTCGACTTACGACCGGTTGGGTAGTCCTCGACTTACGACCGGTTTAGTCCTCGACTTACGACCGGTTTAGTCCTCGACGTACGACCGGTTGGGGTCGCAGCATTAAAAAGGTTGAGAACCACTGCTTTAAGGCTTAGATTATATTTAATTTTGTCAAACTTCCTTATGTAATGTTGCATTTTAAATAAGACTTTTATAATAAAGCCACAAGTTAATATAATAAAAAGTTGCAGAAGTTTATAATACTGTATTTCCTGTATTTATAAGTATGTTAAGATTAAGATTGCTAGAAATCTTCATCAGTGTGTGCAGTGTTAAATGATCTAGATATTTCAGTCTAAATAAGAAGAATTAGATTAAATCTTTATCAGTCTATAATGTCTTAGGATCTGGTGAATTTTCCAAGTCATCTGTTAGAAAAGTTCCTAGAAAAATCTGGCTTTTGAAAAGTGAACAGATGCAAATACTTTATTAGTCTGGCACAATACTCCAAAGCTCATTTGGTAAAACTGCATAATCTAATCTGGTATTAGTACAATGTCTGTTAATCCTATTTTGATTTTCATACAAAGAATGCAATAAATTTTTTTCTTCCTTTGTAACTTTTGTGATTGGAACATACTTACCAAGTTGTCTGTTACCTTACCTTTAGCTAAATACATTTCTTTCATTTTGGTATATTTTCGGTATGTTTATTGTGAGCATTTTGTAAGACTTGTGAGGCTGCTCATAAGGTGTTTTGCAGACCAATAAACAATATGTACAGTGACCGTTGTTCTCCATGCTTTTTGCCTCCTTTTTGTATATTTATGCATGTGGAAAATGATGAAAGGGCTTTTGTGCATGTTTATAGTACTTGTTTCACAGTCTCATTATCCACTGTTGTTCATTTGGAACAGAAGCGCTGCAAATGGGTGCCACCTGTACAGTCTCTTTTAATGATTTGCTTGTATAGCAGCTCGGCAGTTTTAACAATTCATTGTTCTGAAGCTACACTGTTGATTATCAATAGAATAGCCTTAGACAGACCAATCAAATATTTTTAAAATATTTGCAATATGAGAACGAATATCATTATTGAAAAATAATGAAACATATAAAATTTAGAAAAATAAAAAATAGACATAAAAATATGGAGAGATGGAGGGAGAAGTGAATGAAATTGGCCTCCTTTAATCATAAGCAATGGTTTTCATCTCTGATAACGATTCATATTCTGTTTTAGAGATGACCTCCCATGTACCTTTGTTAAAACCAAAGGTATTGCTCAAGTTCCTTATATAATCAGTCACCAATAAAAATCAATATTGAAATAGGTTAACATTCTCAGAATTGGCTCCAGAAGACATCCAGTTTGTGGAATCTCCTTTTTCTATTTCAGAATTCTCTGAAGTTTTCAATACTATTCAGAATGGAAAATCATCTGGCCCTGATGGATTGAAAGGAGATTTTATAAAGAATTTAAAGAGATTTTAATACCTGAATTTTTATTTTTATGCAATACTTTGCACCAAGGGAATCCTTTACTAGAGTTTTGGAAACAGTCTAATATAATTTTGATCCTTAAGTTGGGCAAAGATTTCCAGGATTTGGCACCATATAGGCCTATTTCACTTCTTAACATGGGCTGTAAACTGTACATTAAACTGTTAGCTAATCAACTGATTATAAGTAAAATTATTCTTATGGATCAATTTGTTTTATTTCAAGTCGAAATACATCTGCACCATCAAGAAATTATTAAACATTATGCAGTGTAGTAAAATTAATCTTCCCTAGCTATTTGTTATTTAGATATATTAAAGGTTTTGATTCTCTGCAAATACAATTTGTAAAATATATTAATTAAACATAAACTTGTAGCTGGTTTTTATAAAATGATTGAACATATTTATGGACCAACTGAAGTTCAGATAAGATTTAATAATTATGATTCAGATCCCATTACAAATATAAGAGACACCAACAGTGTTGCTCTTTATCACCTTTATTATCCAACCTAGCCACAGAAGTGTTAGCAATAGCATTTAGATCCAGTAATCAGATTTGTGGGATGAAAAGGAGGGGGGGAGACATAGCTTTTAAATCTATTTTCAGATTTTGACTTTCTTGAACAATTCTTACTTAGCCACTAAGAAGGAACTAAAGGAATTTGCAGAGGTGCCAGGACAATAAGTTAATTTTCATCAATCACATCTGATGCTTTTTCATACTCTCCCAAAAGGAAATTTTCATACTCTTAGAGATTCCAATTATATAAATATTTTTAAAATATTTACAATTTGCTATTACTAAAATATCAATAATACCTATATATTATTCATCTATCTATTATTTTGTATTATTCATACAAAAAACTATATACAGTACCAGCATGCAAGAAATTAAGAAATGGAAATTGGGCTTTAAAATATTTCAATGTTTTAGATGAATTGCAGCAGTAAAGATGAAGATGTTATATGGCTTATCTTTTTATTTCAGTGCCTTCCAGTGGTAATTCCAGTACAGGCTTTAAGACATTGGGATGGGAGCAGGGGGAAGAATGTTTATGCTTTCATGCAAAATAATTGAGAGTAAATAAAAGGATTCTATATAGACCTCAGACACAGGGAGATTCATTAATCTCAAATGATATGGACAAAACAATTTAAAAGCTGGCATATTAGTAATTTTACAATATATACAAACACTTTCTTACAAAAGAGTTTCTCTTCTATCTTTAGTGTCTACATTTTTTCCTGTTTGTGGATAAAATAATGTTTACTCTGAATGTTTTCATTTTTTTGTCCCATGTATTCTCTGTGGAATGTGCTAAATGTAGATTTACCATGGCAGTTCACCTTTAATGTGAAGTTTTACCCACCTGACCCTTCACAATTAACAGAAGAAATCACCAGGTATGCTATTAAGCATTATTGAATTGAATTCCTACATTATTTAGGGTCTCTTGGAAAATCTGTAAAATGTTACATTTCATAAGCCTAAAAAATGGCCAAATGCAGAAAAAGCTATTAGTTGTTATTGCTTTTCTCTGTGTTCGATTTCTAATATTTTTTGTAAATCAGGTATAGAAATGTATATACAAATAATTACTGCAAAAAAATGTCATTTAGGAAAAACTAATCATTTAATGGTAATATTTTTATTGAAAAAAGAGGAACAAGTTAAAGCAGAAAAGCAACAATATTGAATCCATTGCAGGTATTCAAAACATAGATCATAACCTGGATAAGCCAGAGAGGAAACACTATTAAAAGAATACTTCAATAAATCATTTTTTAGTTGAATGAAGAGATTTCTTGGTAATAGAAAATGTTCTCATATGATGTAACTCTGACATTTCTATGGTTATGTTCTTTAATTAGAACCTTTATAACTTACACTTTATAACTTACACTTTCACGGAAATGTTTCTCAAAACTTTTCAAGACAACTGCATGCAGTTTTTCATCTCATCTGCCAACAGAATAGTTTATTCTAGTTGTGTCCCAGTTAGGGAATATTTAGAACAGTTTAATTAGAGTCATATGATAATAGGTTTTTCTACATTTGCCTAAATATTAAGCAGCCTTTTCATGTGTAAAATGAAATGGAATGAATATATATATACTTAAAAACTATAATACTTAAAAACTAGTAGTCAGAATAATTGCACTAAGGCTTCGCTGATAGTAGAATTTCCAGCTTTATATGAGAAATAGGTTGTGTTTGGAGGTTTTTTGCAGTTATTAAAATATAACCTTTTATTATAAGTATTTTCTGTGTTTGCAGATTACTTGTTATGTAGATTTTTAAAATGTTAAAAATAGAGAAGAATATTAGGGTTATTGTGGGGAAAATAAAAGGAAGGCGTATTATGAATGTTCACTACCTTGAGTTATGTATAGAGTAATAAAGGGACTAGGATAAAAAGGTAAACAAATAAATAATATTTGTTAGACAATTATCATTGTTCTTTTTCCCAGGTACTTTCTTTGTTTGCAGCTTCGTCAGGATATTGCTTCTGGACGTCTACCATGTTCTTTTGTGACCCATGCTCTACTTGGTTCATATACTTTACAAGCTGAGTTAGGTGACTTTGATCCTGAGGAGCATGATAGTGGTTACATACAGGAATTCCAGTTTGCACCTAACCAGACAAAAGAGTTGGAGGAGAAAGTAGTAGAATTACACAAGACACACAGGTGCGTTATGTTCCAGTAAAACATATGGAAAAAAGTTCATAGGAACACAGGAACTTAAAAATGCAACATATTTTTCAGCTTCCATATGGTTATGAAATTATTTCTGAGTACTATTTGGAAATTTTAAAACAAAGATGACTAGAAACTAGGAATTCCCCCCCCCCATCTTGATTACATCACAGAAGCTTAACAGTACAAAAAAGATGTTCAATAATGCAGGAAGTACTATTTGAGACAAACATCTTTATTACTTCATAAAAGCAGTAGCCCTGGCTATTTTCATTTTGAGAGATAATACAGTTTGAATTCCTCAAGAGCAAGTTCAGTTCTTTTTTTCTTGCTTAAATAGTAGATGTTTGAAAAACACCAGGGCATTTCCCTTCATTG